AGTTAGTTAACACACGGTGTAATATTAGTTTCAGGTATACAATATAGTAATTCATCACTTCCATACAAACCTGGTGCTTATTACAAGTGTTGCATTCCTTAATGCCCATCACCTATTTGAAATGTAACTCTTATTCAAAGTTCTCAGCCTCATTTTTATCTACCCAAATGCCCCCATTCCCTGTTGCAGGGTTCCAGTACTTCTCTACAAGGGATCTTACCTTAGCATAACAGATCTAGGTCTCACATTTAATTAATGTTGCAACTTGATAGCCTTTACTATTCAGCCATGGGCTTGATTTTCAGCCATTATCTTCTCTGCAGCTACATGAGAAATGTTTCTTCAAAGCTGTCAAAGAAGCTTTTGATTTTCTACTCATGCCTTAAGTTTGGAATTCAGGCCATTTGTCTTTTTTCCCATGTATTCTCTCAGAGGCAATCAGAGCAAATGACACCATGATTTTAGTAATCATCACTATCAAAGCAGCTAAGTGCAAGAGATTGGTCTTCCAGTGCTGGCACCCTCTATCAGCACTCCATCTCTTGCCACTACCGATGGTTATTTCAGTAATTGTGATGCCATTGTTTCATTTTCTGTGGCAAAAAGTTTATACAGGCAATCATCAGATTATGTGAGTAATACCATCCCACAAAGCAAGGGTTTCTTTTCTGAAGCTTCTTCCAATTCCTGTAACTATCAATCAGGGTTCTGATAAGAAAGATACAGCACAGAAAGAGAATCTAATGAAAGGACTATTTATAAAAATGAGGACAGGGTTAAAGGAACCAATAAGGGAGAGTGAAACACCATGAGACTAGCAACAGCGGAATGCCATTATCATACTCGTCTTAAAGGGGCAAGGAAAAAGAGAGCTAGTTAGAATCCTCTAAGAGCGATACATCTGTGGGATAGGGCCACAGCCAGGCAAGGTAGTCTCTTCTGTACATTAGGGCTTCTCGGAACACTAGTTTATATGAGGTGTGAGCAAACTTCAAGCATCCCTTCTGAATGTTATACTTATTATACTGTGAGGAAATCAACAAGGAACAACATATGATTATTTATAACTTACATTTTTTTCTTAGCTACTGAATTTGCAGACAGGACCAAATTGTGAACTGAATACAAGAACACTGCTACCAGTCCTCATTAAAACCTAAAATCCACCTTGGGAGTCAAGATTAATAAAAAAAAGCATTTTAACATATCAGATGATCATTTCAAGCTGGATAAAAAATGGAATGTGCATTGCCTTCCTCAAGTCTTCTTTTCTTATTTTTTAAAATTTTATTTATTCATATATTTTTAAAGATTTTATTTTTAAGTAATTGCTACCCTCAAGTAGAGCTCAAGCCTACAACCCTGAGATCAAGAGTCGCAAGTACCACCAACCGAGCCACTCAGGCACCCCCAATTCTTCTTTTTGAAAACTCCCATCATAATGACCTGATACTGATTCTGAATGAGATACATGTTCTATTGCTGTCCAGAGCAAAACAGAATTTTTCTATACTTGGAAAATATGGTTCTTCAATAGACAACTGACCCTAATTAATAACAGAAAGAATAGCTGAACTATTTGAAAATCTAATTCATAACTGTGGCAGATGTCTTCCAAAATTTAATTAATTTGTATCTAACAAATCTATGGAGCAATAAACTCAATCACACAGAGTTACATTTTGCAACTAGGTTATGCTGGAAGGTTCATCAGGAGATTATATAGGTTAAGCCTGTATGTTCCATACACAAAAATTATTGTCCTCATGCTCTGTTCTGTCACACTTGAGAGTTTTAATTAGCTTTCTGTCTTGGATAGTAAGTTGTGAAGCTTACTAACTTCTACCTAGAAGTTAAAAAATTTTGAGTCCCCAATTTTTTTTTAATTCAGCGATGGCTAAAGTTGAAACCAGAAGCCACCGATTATAATTAGCATTTTACTAAAGAACTTTGATAGAATGGAAAAACACTACAAAGCACAGAGCAAACCATTATAGGTTGTTATGTAGATAAGAGTAAAACCTGGAAGATGTTTACATGTCAGATATTATGAAGACACAATGAATATATGATATCGAGGCTGGGATGAAGGGCCTATCAAGCTATATTTATTCTTATTCCATACCTTGTTACAATATTGTGTAGTTTGTAAGAAACTCTCCTGTTAGCTACAATTTTTTAATTATTATTTTTATTATTGTATTACTTTTACTTAGTAATATAATAAAATTTTATTTATTTAGTAATATTTACTACTATTATTCCTTTAAGATTTTTAAAAAAGATTTCATTTGTTTATTTGAGAGAGGGAGGGCAAGCACAGAGGGAGAGCGAGCACAGAGGGAGAGGGAGAAGCAGACTCCCGATCCCAGGACCCTGAGATCACGACCTGAACCAAAGGTAGACGCTTAACCGACTAAACCACCCAGGTGCCCCACATTTTTTTTTTAAGATTTTATTTATTTATTTGACAGAGAGAGACACAGCGAGAGAGGGAACACAAGCACGGGGAGTGGGAGAGGAAGAAGCAGGCTTCCCATAGAGCAGGGAGCCCGATGCAGGACTCGATCCCAGGACTCTGGGATCATGACCCAAGCTGAAGGCAGACACTTAACGACTAAGCCATCCAGGCGCCCCACCACATTTTTTTTTATTATTGAGACTATGTGCCTAATTGTTTACGATGTAAAACTAAATTTATGTACCATATGTTTATTTTATGGAAATTGAACTTGAATTTCTCTACCAACCGTATAATATTTAACCCACCAGCCATGAATTCACTGTTCTTATTTAAATGAACTCAACCAGTATTTTTAAATCCTTAAGATTCTTTTGGAGTTGGAATAAAGCAAATGTTTTCCTCTTTGCATCAATTGTGGTACAAGTAACGATTATAACAGACACATTTTTTAACCACCACGTAGAATTTCAATTTTTTCCATGCTATCCACCTCTGGGTTGATGGTCAAAGCATATGGATCTGCCATTGCTGGCAACATAAAAATACCTGCACTCCAGAGTCTTGTTGAAGCCTATGACCTCAAACTTTTTATTGCCCAATTCATATCAAACATTGTGTTTCAAGAATAACATGCTTGAAGGATTATCAGACATTTATCCTTGTTCCAAACTGGGAATTCAGAGTTTTCACTTTATAAAGGCTCATGAGGTAAACTTTTCTAAAGTCTTCGGATCAGGACAAGATGTGCCTCTCTTGATCAATTGCTTCACTGTGATCTCAAAAACACTATAAAACTCTCTGCTTTGGCCAATTTGCTGCATTGTTCTGGTATCCTATTTTCCCTCTAACAGCATACCTATTTCTTCATTTACTTATTTTTATTTTGTGGTATAGTATGTATTTTCTGTATGCTGCCGCAAATTCTCTGGAATAATGCAAGTATAAATAAGTAAGAATACATTTCAGACTAGAGAAAGGATCAATGCTTATAGGGTCAAAGGAAGAAGAAAAGAATCTATGACAGTAAACAAGTACTAGGATACCAATAGAACATTTGAAAAGATTTTGAGTCATTGAAGCCAAAAGTATGTGCCCACCAAAACAAGTGCCAAGAAGCTTTGAAAGAAGGAACTGTTCTTCAACAATTTTTTCAATGCAGCAAACACATAGGCTTTGTCCATAGAGCATGTAAGTCTGAGCTTACTTATGTTCCCTAAATAAGTGCCCTTTGTGCATGGAGCACAAGAAAATACATATATTCCTTGTCCTGTTAAGGTGTAAATTTAATTTCTACATTATACAATTAATTACAATGATCACCAACAAGGAGTATATTGCCCAAGAACAGAACTGAATTGGATGTTCAAAACCACAAGCCAACATCTGCAACTTGCTCTTTTGTGATTTTTCAGTTACTAAATGCATTGGCTGAGTGTTACCTGGCTTTTCTGCTCAAAACCTCTACTGAACTCCAGAAATATCTTTGCCGGTATACATAAATCTGGCAACTTTATTTCTACCTTCAGAACAGGACTGGAACTGAAACTGCAAAATAGCTTGTGAAACATCAGCCAAATTACTTCCTCGAACTCCTGTTCCATATTCTATGCACTGCGAATTATTTTACAATCTCTTCTATTTGATAACCCTCTTTATATCCTGTAAAGTGCCTTATCAACACTTTCCGAGGTGTCAGGTGCAAAACCTTATTCTCTTCAAGCTGCAGATAACAATACTTAGATATTGCCAAATAATGATGTCTTGTCCCAGATCACATACTGAGAAGGTCCTTGATCCGGAATCACGTTGTGGTCTCTGCTTTTGTTTTAGCTTCTGCAGAACTCCCGATCTCATTCAAGGAGCAATCCCCGCGGTGAGACACCGCGTGTGCCCAACAGGGATAAAGGCCACTGAGACTTCCTAGGAATTCAGACTTTGAGAAATGTGGAAAAACTCAGGGGAAGACAGGTTGTGCAGGTGTGTAGGGAAGCCTCAAACTGGTACCACTGGGAATGATTTGCAAAACAGGAAGGTGCAGTAGGGTGTGCCGCGGCTTAGTTGCCCCGGCACTCCCCCACCTCCTTCCCTGGCGCCCCATGGCCAGGTTACTTCTGGCCCAGTGCCCTCAGCGTACCTTTTCCGTGTTGAACTGGAAAGGCTGCCCTCGTGCCCACCCTTCTCCCTCTACCCGTCACCCTCCAAATTTACCTGACGAAGCTGGGGGGCGGTTTACCGGAGGCCCGTCGGTTCACGAATGTCCGGGGGCGTCCGTAATCTCAGTGGGTAGCACAGCCTGGGCCCCGAAGGGACGCGCCCGGCCAGGGGGCGCGGTGGCCTGGCGGCCGGGAGGGTGTCGTGTCCCGACCAAGCCTCAGGGCGGCACTCTGGTCCCGCGGCCGGCGCGCTCGGGCGGGCCGCTGGGCGCCGACCCACGCTGGCCGGGAACGTTTCACCCGGTGACGCGGCCCGGGGGGGGGGGGGGGACGTGGTGCGGCGGCGGCGGCGGCGGCGGCGGCGGCGGCGGCGACGACGACGGTACGCACCTTCGCCGCCGCGAGAGGACGTGCGGTGCGGCGGGAGGCGGCGGCGCAAGACCTGGAGTGGCCGGCGGGCGCCGGGAAGCGGGACGCGGGCGCCGGCGCGGAAGTAGGTGCCGGACTCCGCGTTCAACAAAGAGCCGGGCCGCCCCCCTCGGGTACCGAGCCGGCCCCAGGCCCCCGGCGGGCGGGGAGACCGGCCGGGCTGTTCGCGAGCGGTCAGGAGGGGGAAGGGCCGCGCCCGGGACGGGACTGCGGGGCGCCGTGGACCCTCCCAGGCCCGCTTGTCCGCGGCCCCCGGCGGGGCGGAAGGGAAGGGGCTGGGCCGCTCCGGGTTGTAGCCCTTGCTCGTTGCTCGTGCAGGCGGAGCTGCGGGCAGAGGCTCCATGTTGGGAAGCGGCGCCGCTCGTCCTCGTTAGCGGGAATCGGGGCGCCGCGGGCAGAGCCAGCGGGGGCCGGGCTCTGAGCGAAGATGGAGGCCCCGCTGCGGCCTGCCGCGGACATCCTGAGGCGGAACCCGCAGCAGGACTACGAGCTCGTCCAGAGGGTCGGCAGCGGCACCTACGGGGACGTCTATAAGGTGAGGCAGGCCGGGCCCGGCCCCGAGCCGGGCTGCTTTCCTGCGGTCGGCTGGCTCCCGGGAATAGGGTCACTTTCTGGCCAAGTATGAGACGTGGGGAGGATGCCTTTATTGTTGCATCTTGGGGATGAAGCGGACGGGTTCCTTTTTTACTCAGCTCAGAGCACCCTGTCTGTATTCATTGCTTGCTCTGATCGCCACCAACACGCAAAACTAACCACACCGTTGCAAATCACTGTTGTACTTTTTTGTGTGTGGCATAAAGGCTTTTTACGTTTATTTGTGGTATCCAGGGGATTTCAAATCCCCTAGCACATGAGGATGTGCTAGGCTTAGCATGGAAAAATGCTTTATGAAAGACGGTAGATGAGAAAGAATATTGACATTAGACATTTGCATTTAAAGAAAAAAATTAAGTGCTTGAGCATGATTTAAAAAGTCATATGAAACCAGGTCTGTTAATTTTAACTGTAATCAGTGTAATACTAATCAAAATGATATGTGCACAAACATCCTATGTAGAACTCTGCTTTTCCTGGCAGATGTTTCATCATTTGTATTTGGTTGATTTTTTTTTTCCCCTACTTTAGCAGTTCCTCTCTCAGGGATTTAGAACATTCCATGACCAAGAGGGGATAAGAGCTGTTGTCTTTTTAATTGTGTTCTTTCGCATTATTTGAGACAAATGGCAGGGTAAGGTACTGTTAATTTGGGATTAAAGAAGAATTATAGAGAAGCAAACTGAATTCCCTAAATCCACTGAGTTCTTGAAGGATTAAAAGGAAAGGGATTGTTTCAGATTGCTTTATGCTTTTTGTTTTCTATTTCAAAAGGAACGTTAATGTAATTCATGTGGCTATATTAAGGGAAATTTCCTTTGATTTTTGCAACAGCTTTGTTTACTGGATTTAATCATGATATATATCCCATTATTCCAAACAACACTCCTGTATATAGCTGAAATGGCCTTCTGTCATATGGGTAATTTACAGTCGACTCCTCTGGGGTATGTTGTTGTATTGCACAGATGGTAAAATGGAAAGACAACCTCCCTTTTTTCTCCTTTTCTGCTTTTATTATTCCATTAATAGTAATGATTCAAGGTGGTATATGACAACTCTAGCACTGTGTCATTTTGCTGAAATGGACTGTGATGGGTAGGCTTTTTATTCATTAAAAGGGCATTTGAATCTTCTATGTAGGCACTGCCCTAGGTATGGGATGTTGAACTATGAGGGAAGTCCCAGTTCTTGCCCTGTGAATCCACTTTGAATTCAAAGTGGATAATAAAAACAGAATCCTCTTTATGTAGAATTAGAGGTAATTAATTCTTCATTGTTTAGCCATGAATTAGCCATTTTGTGGAATGCGCTTTAAAAGTTGAAATTCCTATTTTGCCTTCTCAGTCTTACTTTTTAGTCATTTTCATCTTATGATTCACTATGTATTAGATCAGTTCAGTTCATGTTAACAAAATACTTAAGTCTAAGTTCCAGGTCTTGTATATTTTCTCTTCTCCCTACTACAAGAAAATTTTAAGTGTTTTCCCCACAAGAATCTCAAAATAATCCACCTTTTTTAAAAAAAAAAAATATAATAACTAAAGCAACTCTCTGGAGCAGGATTTTATTCTTGCCAGGAAAAGCAAAGGGTTGTGTTAAAGGGAAGGCTAGTGCTTGTCTGACCCTGGTGCCCCCCTGCCCTGTGTCTCTCTCCCACAGCTCCTAAACAGAGGGTCAGTGACCCCTCTCGCCCTGCCCCATCTCCTTGCTTACCACATTCATGTTCTCCCACACTCACATGTATGCTCATTCCACTCTTGGTCAGCCTCTGATTCCTAAACATCCTCAGAATCCTGGTTCTTGGTTTTCCTTTGTTCTCATTACCTGGAATCACCCTCCACCCTCCTTTTCAAATGTTGCTGTCTTACTTGTCCATGAAAACCTTCCTCACAGGCTCCTCCAGGAAGCCCTAGCTGTTCCCCTTTACCTCTCCCCCCTCATCTATAACTTTCCCCTCTTCATTCTGTTCCAGCCACACTGACCTGTTTGCTCTTCCTTAAATATAATAAGCATCTTCCTACCTTTGGGTCTTTGTTCTTGCTATTTCCTCTGCTCAGAATGTTTTTCCTCAGACAGCCATGACTTGCTCCCCTCCCTCCTTGCTTTTACACCCTCCATCTTTTTTTCCTGATTTATTTTTTTTTCTTTGCACGTAATCACCACGTAACATAATCTTTCCTTTCTTCTTGTTTATTATCTTTTTCAATCCACCAACATACTCCATGAGGGCAGGAGTTTTATCTGTTTTCATTTCTCTATCTCTAACAGTACCTGGAATTATGCCTGGTGCAGAGTAAGTGCTAAAAATTTGATGAATGAATGAATGAACAATTCTCAGTAATTCTATCACCTAGTTGTCTGGACATATTCTTTTGACATCACAACACTAAGTTAGCACTTAATACTCTGTGTTAATATGTAATGTCTATTATATCCTGCTATGTATTTTTTGTACAAATTTTAATTGTTTGAGTTCTCTAGGAAAACTTTCTGGAAGACTGTTTCATAGCATACCCATTTTCAGCTGTCTAAATCCTACAGAATTGTGTCAGCTTGTATTTACTTTTATAAACCTAAAAACACGTAACATTCAGAATGTAGTGCTGAAGTTTTGAAGCTCAGAGCAGTTAGAGTAATTTTGCTATTTATCACTGTGTTTCTGATGAGCTGAAAATCCTTGGAAGCTTTAGGAGTATTTTCAGTCGGTGATATAAACTAGTAAAATAATAACAGTGAAGAATAATGAAGATAAATTAGTTGCTCTTCTAGTAGGGTATTATCTACTTTTTAAAATAAATATTACAACTATAGCAACTGTCTGGAGCAGGATTTTATTCTTACCAGGAAAAGCAAGCATCTTTTGAAGCAGGAGCTTTAAAAGGACTACAGCTTTGAGACTCTTTGTGAATTATATATATGCTCTTCAAAAACACAGATCCCCTCTGAAGCTGAAGCTCCTGTCTTTGCTGAGAATCTCTAGTAGGGGAGAGCTCAATCTTAAACTGGCTATTCCCTGGTTGAAAAGAATTCTTTTAGATAAATAGAGCAAGAGCAGGAAATGGTAGAGGGGAAAGAAACAAAAAAGAAAAGAAATGAGGTGGAAGATGGGTGAAGGATTAAATTTCAGCTGAGTAAATTTTATTTGTAATTAATGTTAATATTTAAATCTGCCAACAGGAAGAGGAAGTATGGAGATTCAGTGTTTCCAGTACCTTCTGTCTACAAAAGAACTAGACATGTCAAATGATCTAGACAATTATAGTATCATGATAACAGTTTATAATTAACAATACAAGCCATTGAGGTGGTCTTTATCAAAATATTTGTATCAAAATTGTTCCCAACCTCTATTCCAGAGAAGGTCCAGGAATCTTTTTTTTTTTTAACTTTTGTGGGCTATAAATTCAGAGTGGGCAGACCCATGTATTTTTTTCTAACCTGCATGCTTTTTCTGATTGATTATACAAGAATGACATGTCTAGCTACAGGAGGGAAGGAGTAGATGTCTTTAGTTCATCACTGTATGAGAGATAGATGCTCAATAAGTATTTGTTGAATGATATTAGTTATAGAAAACTGCCCAGAGTTAACACAGTTAATAATTCAATATAGTTTATTTCAAGCTCTTTTCCTGTTTTTAAACCAATATGTTTCTAAAAATGGCTTTTATAAAACAAGGATCACAATGTATATCTTTTTTCTACTTGAATAGGAATGGCTAGCATTTTCCCTGGTCATTAAATATTCTTAAAAAATACCATTTTTAAATGATCTATTGAAAAAACACTCATTTGGTGAATTATTCTAAGGTTCATATTTGTTTTCAATTAGAAAATTTTTTTTGCAATTATAAATAATGTATAATTTATATGGAAATCTTTGTCATGTAGTTTTAAAACTTTCATGGATTCTTCTGGGTGTTGGATGAACTGGGTCCACTGGGACAAATCCCTCTTTTATATATACCTTTCTTTTCTCTCCCTTAAGCCAGAAGTCACAATTCTGGAATGACCTGAGGCATTTTGAAGCATATTTCGGGATCCCATTGTATAGATTCATTTATTCTTTTTTTTTTTAATTAAGACTTTATTTATTTGACAGAGAGAGACACAGCAAGAGAAGGAACACAAGCAGGGGGAGTGGGAGAGGGAGAAGCAGGCTGAGATCCCACTGAGCAGGGAGCCCAATGTGGGATCAATCCCAGGACCCTGGGATTATGACCTGAGCTGAAGGCAGATGCTTAATGACTGAGCCACCCAGGTGCCCCGAGATTCATTTATTCTGGAAATATTTACTGGATGCCAATTGGATGTTAGGGTATGGGGAGGGAGACATAAGAAAGAAAAAGTACACTATCAAAAAGGAACCTATAATTTAGTCAGGAAAACAGACATGTAGACTGTTACAATAGTGGAAGTGCCATAGTAGAAGTGAAGTCAAATACCTAATTCTGTCTTTCCTGGGAATAGGGGAAGGGAGGAGAGGAGAAAGAACTCTGATGTGAACTAGGGAGGGTTAACAGAGGAAGGGGCATTAACTGGATTGTAAAAGAATGCAGAGTGATTTTCAGGTGGACAAAATGGGAAAGATATTTCAGGCTATGGGAATAGTGGATGCAGACACCTGGCATCTTGAGAAACCATGATGAATTTTGAAGGATCTGCATCTGCAGATTTGGTGTGACCAAATATAGCAGAGATGTCATAGATGGATAACACAGGCTATTTTCTGGAAGAAAAGGGCCAGATAATGGACCTTATATGTCATATCAAAGAATTTGGACTTCTTCCTATAAACTGAAGAGACACTGAAGAAGAGAATCTCTCATGTTGTAGAGGATGGATTAGGTACAGTTGCTGGAAGTCTAAAGACCAGTTATTGAATAATCCAAATGAGAGTTCATGCAAACCTAAATTTAGGCTCTGGAACTGGAGATAA